CCAATACTGATTGTGGCACTTGGTCAATTTGTGGCACCTTCTGTGTGGCATAAACTACTCCGCTTTAGCCTACCCCCATTTATGGAAATTTAGAACAAAGAAAGTAGTGTAACAATCTCAATATCTATTATTATTCTTGGATAACCCCCGTCGTTATTAAGTACGACATAACCGTATGTTGAGGTACTTTGAAGAGGCCACAAAACTATTGATGTGCCACTTATAAATTTTGACCCGCTTGGATATTCTTTACGCAGGCATGAACTATAATGTGAATCTTGTTTTAAGCAAGTTGATATGTCACACACACAAGATCTGCTCTCCCTGTATGTATCACTTATTTCTATTTTCTGGCGCTTCATTAAATCGTATGTCCCAATTTTCTTTTGCTTGGCATATCTATTTTTAAATTTTCATGTTAGTTACGTTATTCCTGTTTATGTTATAGTTTAATTTACTACGCATAATATTTTTTAGCATGTAATGTGGTTATGTTACTTTACATTCACCACGCGCTCAGTGAGCATTATTCAATTTTATGGTAAATTTTTTAGCTAAATAATTAATTATAACGCGCAAAAGAGACTTTTTTGGAGTAATTTAAACTGCTGACAGGGTATAATTTGCAAGCCTAACGGTTGTCATTAAACACGTAGACGCATTGACACATCTGGTGGATTAATTGTGAGTTAAGTAAACAATACAAATACAGACACCAACATCAACCTGGAATTTTAAAAACTTCTGCTAATTAATTAGCGCGCGCAAAACTGTTTGCCAAAAACCATAAAGCTATTTATATAAAATCCAACTAATGCAATATATCGTAAAAATAATACCATTGCAGATAAGCTAATATATAATGTGATAAACTTCAGATTAAAGCGATAGTTTTTGTTTTATAAACATTTGATTTGACTGTCTTAATAATTGACGGAGAATCCGAACAAACAACTCGTAAGGGTTTAGATGTGACAATGTTTCTTTGGTCTTTCTCAGCAAAGCCACATTTCAATTTATGTTTGTCATACATTAACATCACGGGATTCCAAGAACAGTCATTGTAATTGTAACGTGATTTGTATTAAAACTTTGCTAAGTTTACATAATCGCAAAAACCAATGCAATGGTTTTTTAGAATTGCCTTTCAGGGTACGTTTGTTTTACTATTATGGTATTGTTATTATCTTTCAAAATTAAGTTGCGTTTAATGTGATAATATGAGACTATCTTCATGTATAGTACAATATTACTGCACATGTCAATGTGTGTGTTAACCAGTTTAACTCAATCTGCGAGAATATCAAATTGCTGGGCAAAAATCTGTCCTCGATTATCAAGTAAAAAAAGGCAGATGTATTACAGCATTGTTTTCGCTGTTCTAAATTAATATTGTCTTGCTTATTCAATAATTTTGTATCGCGTGTAGTTTTATTTTAGTACGTTTTGTTTGACTGTGAGATATATGATATCGTGCATGCAATACTATACCATATTAGTATCAACAATAAATTATGATTATTTTTTCTGCTTTCTGCAAGTAGAATATCTAACTTGGCACGCAGCAAACAGTTGCCATGTTGTGTATTTACTGCAAAATGCGCCCAGACATAGAAATGACGCCGTTGCATCAATATTGAGAACGAAGACCATTCCCGTTCGTGAAACAACCGTTCCATTGTACGAGTGTTTTCCCATGTTTCGAAAGTTGAAATAAAGAATCGAGGCGTACCGGCATGTTTATCTAATATGTGTGCTGTGCCAACAGATTGTGGCCAACGCAACGATGTTGTATTTCGGAGAAAATTCTCCGCACAATTCTCAGATTATCAAAATAGTTTCCATATTAAGTTATTGGCATGTCAAGACTGCTTATTTTAAAATTACTTAAATTGGGAAAGTGATATTCTTGGCTATTCTAAACTCGGTCTTTGCTCATCGTGCGAACTGTTTATCCAATAAAATGTAGAGTAATTTGTTTGATTTAAAGCTTCGTTTCACAAGTTGACAATGACTCGATAATATAATAAAGACATGTATACTGAAACGGGAGCATGCAGCTATGGCGAAACTCACTTGTACTATGTAAAAACCGGTTTAGCGATGTAATTTATTATCTTGGTTGGTCTTGTCTTTAATCACTTTTACTTTACACAGCAGATAGTGCAACGTGTGATAAGAATCAAATCAATTATTACTTGATTTGGAATGTAGATTCCAAATTTGGCCGTGCGCGACTTTATTATTTTGTCCATAAATGCTCGATGATATCCTCTTGACACCAGTAACATGAAATCATCTTAGCACTATCAACCTTTTCCCCTTCTTGGAGTAGGGCTTTCTTTCTCTTATTATCCATTCATTCCTCCCGGGTGTACTCGCCAAAAGTTTATCATTTCGCTTTATCACCATTTCCCCATTCACCATGCATAATTCCAACACCTTTCCTTCCGTCTTTCCTCTTATCCTTTTTACTCTCTTCACTTTCCCAATCTTTTCTAATTCGCAAATCGATTATTCTGATCCGGGACCGCGTGTTGATCATTGCGCATTCGCCTACGAGAATCGTTTTTACGTCTTCGGTGGTACGGGCAATGGTAACCACTCCTACTTCAGCTACATCAATGCGCCCTTCAATACAGCAAATCCCAAATGGAATTCTCTGCCGGTGACTAACGCTATAACCGTCAATCGACCAGCATGTTCCGTTACGTCAAAGGGTATCTTATACGTAACCGGCGACGCAGCAGCCTCAAGCGATAATGATTACGCCGGAGTCCAATTGTTTGACTTAACAAAAGAAGCTTCGGGTACTTGGTATAAACCGCTAAACCCTTATAATAAATTTCAACATTTGCCACGTGGTCACAAGTCAATTGTCGTACAAACGTCAGCGGGCGAAGAAGTATTGTTTATATTTGGAGGGACGGATTATACGTTTATTCTAAATCTAGAGTATTCTAGGCTGGAGAATGTAACTGAAACAGAGGTGAGTTATGCTGTAATAAAAAATTGATATCGATGCGTTGACTATAGATTATAACGTTTGTAGGCATCTTATTAATTAATGATAACATTTTTGACTATCATCCATCGTCTAGGATGCTCCGCCGCCATACATGGACGAATTCGCCCTAACATCCTCTAAAGACAACATTTATATCATTAGTGGTCGCACTGAAGAGTCTGGCAGGAACCTGTGGGGATTTAACATTCCAACTAGAAAGTGGTTTAAGTCGCAGGCCGTCGTAGACATTACAGTGGGCGCCCAGGTTGAGTATGCAGGGAAACTTAACGATACGATTTACTTGATCGATTCGGGTCAGTCGTTAATGTGGAAATGGAATTTGGGTGAGTTGAAAGTGTAGTTACACGATTTGAGAGCAAATTAAATCATCCGAATTTCGCGTTCTGACAAAAAAATAGTGAATAATATTACAGAATCTCTTCCTGAGGCTGGCCCTCGTACCTACGGTTATGCGTTTGCACAGTTGCCCGGCAGCGACGTTTTTGTTGTAAGTTTCTCATACTTAGAGTACCGTAGTTATAGTCTACTTATCTCCCTTTATTAACTTCCAACATCTGATTCAAGACCTACGGCGGGAAAACCGGCTCCGATGTTGTAACCGATAGCTTAGACGCATTCAACATGACCGAAGAGAGTTGGATTAAGGTCAACAACAAAACTGATATACCCAGCGATCAGTACCGTGATGGGTTTGCACCTGATCAAGATTCATTCCTTGAACCACCACAAACTTCTGTTACCAGCGCGGGAAATGGAACACAGGCGGCGCATAATAGAACACTCGATATCACAGCGGATGTAATAGTAGGAATACTATTGATAATGGTTGTAATTTCGAGCTTTCTTTTGTATAGACAGATGAAAAATAAAAAGGAGGAAGAGAAACTGAAAATAGTGGAAACTTGGGGAGCCTTTAGAGGCGATACTGAAACTGTTTCTCGGACAGACATTGAAACTGGTTCTCAGGAGGACACTTTACAGAGTTATCGACCACTCGAGGTGGAAACGTCTGGTCACTGTGAATCTTACTCAAGTTCGTCAGAGACAATTTCAGCACCCGACTTTAACACGCCTACAGCTTTACATCATACAGAGAAACTGAACTCTACTCCCATCACTCCATCGTCACATTATGCAGAGAAACTGAACTCTACTCCCATTACTCCATCGTCACATCATGCAGAGAAACTGAACCCTACTGCCTCCACTCCGTCATCGCATCATACGGTGAAACTGAACTCTACTCCCCCCACTCTATTGTCACGTGCAAACGAGATCCGTAAAGGAGTAACACCCACTGTATTCGAATCTCCTTCTACCTCTTCGGTTTCTCCATCAGCTCCAGAGGGTACTATTCTATTTAACCGGTACAAGCTCAAAGGGAAACCAGAATTTGATATCAGCAAATCCGTTCGGTATGCAGAGGACGAGACTGTAGGCGAAGACGTGGCGATAAAGTTTTTCTCAGACTACGATTCATTCGAAAATGAGGTTACAATGTTAAAGTTTCTTCGCTCGACATCTGTTGGTGCTTTGCGTAACGTATTCCACGTTTCCAATGCTGTTGATTGGAAATATGCTATGATTACGGACTATTATCTTATGAGCTTGGATGTCTTTATCCTTAAGAAACGAGATGACATTAACGAACTAAACATAAAAGTGATAATACATTCATTAGCTCAAGCTATAAATTATGTTCATAACAAGGGAATAGTGCATCTGGACATTCAACCGGGAAACTTTGTACGCGAGGTTGGAAGTGAGAACAAGTGGAGATTGATCGATTTTGAGTCAGCGAAAGTCGATGGAGAAGAAGACGTTAGTAGCAGCACATTAAGATATGCTCCGCGTAAGTAATACACATTGAGCAGTTTTTACGAATACTATCAGGCCTTTGAAAGAATTTTTAATTCCATAGCATACTGACATTTTTTTCCTCTTAACGTAGCTGAACTAATCAAAGCGAGCACGCTGCGCACTAGTATTAAAGCAGATACTTCGATGGACATGTGGTCATTTGGATGTACGATATATGAATTGTTTGCCGGAAAGCCTCTGTTCATAAGTGATGATGAGACTAAACGTGCATTACTTGACGCAAGTTGCATGCAACACTTTGAATTTCCCTCTAAAAACGTATCGGATGTTCAAGCACAACACGTGCTCAAGAAATTGTTAGCCATCAATCCTATAAAGAGAGCTTCAATTGAGGAAATTTTAAGGGGGGCATATTTGACTGGTGGTGCCGATAGTGTTCAGGTATGTATAATCAGTTCTATTATTGATCGCTGTTGTCCGTTGCCCAGCCTGCAAACACTAACCTTGTTTTATATCAACTTAAAGATACGCAATATGCGGGCAGAAGCGACCGAGGAGATCATTAACACCCTACACCAGAATACGAACATTGTTCTTTCCAGCATGCAAGAGGCTACTAATAAGATTGTGAATAGTATATCTGATGCTGAAGATGCGAAAGTGCCCCGACTATTCATGTTATTACCAGGGGACGTGTCTTGGAGAATTTTTAACCCAAACACTTGGGGAAGGAAAAAATTTGTAATCCGCATTCTTTGTGAAGGTCTTGCCGCTAACAACAAGGAAGCCCACTTCACTGACCATCCTGGTTACGAGGTATATTTTGTCCAATGACATGTCAAATGCGATGTACTCAATATAATTCACGTCTTATTAACGATACTGATATCTTTGTTACAGTTATATCATGCGGAACAGTTTCTTGCCAAGGCTGGGCCATACCTTAATATCTTGGCCAATCTTATGAAAGTTGCTAGTTTTTTTCCAACGCTACAATTCATGCATGGCATAGCAGACAAAGTCGATATAACGCTTAACTCTAAGGAATACTTCAAAAACATAAGCGAATTTATTAACGAATTCAAAACGGATGAGTCTGTTGCAAGAGATCTGGCAGGCTTACAAAACGATCCACTCGAGCGCATAAAATGTGCGCAGGGTCCTGCACTGCGTGAATTTGAAACGTTCTTGCTTAATAATGATCGTTTGCGCGAATATGGTGGATTGAATCGTATTATTGTGAATGATGGACGATGTAGATGGGTTTGTAATGGTTGCAAGGAAAGGGCGTTACAAGGAAATCATTAACATTGATATATTATAATAATTTAATGTGTAATAGATACAGTAATATTGGTTTTTATTGACATTTATAACCGAACATTCGTAAAGGATCACACTTGGACACTTATAGTACCGCTCGATTATAGATTTTGCTAATTATTAATAAATATATTATATTAGAGCCTTCATCTTCTAACAGCTAACGATTCGATATATGCTGATATGTATGTCAACCGTGTTACATAAATATCATGTTATTTCTATCTATAGTTAAACTATTCTTTGTTGGTTAGTCCTGGCAT